TCCTGCTGATCTACCAAGATTCATTAAGAAGCATTTTACTACCACATTGAGAGCTAGCATGTGAAAGAAGCAATTTTGCTCGACTCATGAGAATTGGCTGTAGATTTGTATGCAACCAAGTAAAGGCTTATCTTCAAAGGATGTAAATGCAATAAAATGAGCAGAAATCTGCCTGTGTGTATCAATTTATACAAGCAGTTAAAATAATCAATTAGCAATTCCCTTTAGGTTTATTTTTTAACAAAATTTCTAGGAGTCAGTATTAGTTCAGTCTACACTTAGGGTATGCCTTCACTGAAAGATTATTTTGAGTTATACTCATATTTTGCCCATACCTTGAATCCCATCAAATATAAAAACCTTTAACTTGAATGCAGTGGTGCCCCATCAAGGTTATAAGCTAATGCTTGATTTAGTGCTCATCATGATAGCTGCTTGCAGACATTAAAAAAAACAAACCAAAACCCAAAAACGGCACTTTGCTTTAAACTTGGTGTGTTCCTGCGCTGAGCCCAGAGCATGTCCAGAAGAGGTAGAGCCTTAGTTGGACCTGGTTCTGCAGCATCTGTATATATCAGGCATTTTAGTAGGGCTTATTGGCACTTTTATCTAATAGCTGATTGAATCAGCTTTAGCTAAAAGCACCAAAATGCCCCGCTGAAATGCCCGATCTATACAAATGCTGCAGAGACCGGTGAAAGCATCTCACTGCTTCTTCTGGTAAAGTCTGTTTATTTTTATTTTTTTTAATGTCTGCAAGCAGCCATCAGCTGCTAACAGGACTACTCTGTAGTGTGGATTTGGGCTAGTTCCACTTGAATACTGCTCGCCCTCCAGTGTTTTACCACTAATCCCTTTGTATGCCCATAAAAGAAAGGCAGACAAGGTTCTCTGGGTAAATGTGATATCTTTTATTACCTGGGTTTTTGGTTGTAGCCGTGTTGGTCTAAAGACATAGGCAAGCAAGGTTTTTGGAGCAGGTGTGATAACTCTTATTACACCAACTGAGTAGTTGGAAAAAAGCCTCACATATCTGCAAGAACAAGATTACAACTCAGAGTACAGACCTCAGGATATCACTGAACTCATATACTTCATCTTCCCACACAACAACTTCACTTTCAACAATCAACACTTCCTCCAGATCGTGGGCACAGCTATAAGCACCAAAATGGCCCCACAATATGATAAAACTTTTATGGCCTACCTAAAAGAAGAATTCCTCAAGAACTGCACCATCAAATTCTTACTATACCCGAGATACATAGATGACATCTTCATCATTTGGACTGAAATTCTGCAGTCTCCAATTGATTTCCACCAAAAATTCAACAAAATCATCACCCCTCCATTGCTTGAATACTCTAACACCAGCATTTCCTTCTTAGACACCACGATCAATATACAAGATGGTAAAATTCCAACTACCATATGTAAGAAACCCATGGACCAACATACATATCTACACAGGACCAGCAAACACTGTAAACACACTAATAAAGCTGTAATTTACAGCCAACCTCTCCAATACCACTGAATCTGCAGCGAGGAGAATACCCATGATTGCCACCTCACAAATGTCAAAAGGGCCTTCAGCCAACAAGGACACTCTCCAAAGTGATAGATTGAACTTTTGAAAGAGCCACCCAGATACCGTGTAAAGATTTGCTGCAATACAAAAAGAAAATCCCCACAAATCATACACTATTATTTATGACATATCACCCTTCCCTGTAACCTACATAGAAAATCCTCAAACAACTGCAACCCATACTAGAAGACCCAATTTTTAAAGAGATATTTCCAGAACCACCCATCCTAGCCTTTAAACAAGCACTGAACCTCATTCTGAACCTCATTAACCTTATCACCAAAAGCAAACTTCCTATGACCCAAACCACACCTAATGGTGGTTAGGACAAGAAATACCAGGACAAGAAATGCAAAACCTGCCAACACATCTTCACCACCCCCACAATAAATATACCCCACAACAGAATCATCACCATTCCTGGAACTTACACCTGCACCTTTGGAAATGTTATATATCTCATCCAGTGCACCAAATGCCCTGATGGAAAATATGTAGGAGAAACCAAACAACAACTGTGCACCAGAATGAACGCACACCAAAAATCTATCAAAGACAAGAATATCCAACTACCCGTGGGTGCCCACTTCTCACAGGACAATCATTCCCTTTCTAATCTCTCAGTACTAATCCTCAAAGGGAATTTACAAAACACCTTTCATAGACAAGCCAACAAACCTCACTTCATAAATCTACTGGATACAGTATTGAATTTATGACACATTACAACCTGCCTGACATGCGAGTCACCAAGTACCTGCCAGACCTGACCTCTTACATTCTTTTCACACATCTTTTCTCCCCTCCCCTCCCCTATTTTTCTGCCCTTTGTCTTCCTAATTTTCAGCTATTTCCTTTGTCATAGACAAGCCTATTTTTTACCTTGTATTACTATCACTAGAGTATCTCCTTTTGACCTTTTCTTCCCTTGCTTTCCACCCTCCCCTTCCCTGCTTTACCTTTTGTCTTTCTAATTTCTACCTATTTACATTCTCACTGACATCCTGCCACACTTTTAGATTCTCTCATTCCTTGGAGTCTCAGAACAGCAGAGACTCCCTATGCCTGAAGAAGGGTGTTTGTGCCCAAAAGCGTGCCAAGAACTTTTTTTCCAGCTACTCAGTTGGTCTAATAAAAGATATCACATCTACCCAAAAAACCTTGCCTGCCTATATCTTTTATTAGACCAACATGTATTACATGTATTATATCTTATCCAGTGCACTAAATGCCCTGAAAGAAAATATGTAGGAGAAACCAAACAACAACTGTGTACCAGAACAAATGCACACCGAAAACATATCAAAGACAAAAACCCAATTACCTATGGGTGCAGACTTCTCACAAGACAACCACTGTCTCTCTAGTCTCTCAGTTCTAATCCTCAGAGCGAATTTACAAAACACCTTTTGTAGACTAGCCTACGAACTTCACTTCATAAATCTACTAGATACAAAATCATGGACTAAATATAGACTTCGGATTTATGGCACATTATAACCTGCCTGACATCTGATAAACCCAGGTATTCTATCTGCATTTTAATAGCTGCATTCTATCAC